TATATATTCCGGTTAAACATTTTACATTATAAAAAAGTAAAGTGAATCTATTACCTCCGATTTTTATTTACATATAGTAGATACCTACTTATATGACGTATATTCCACTGCTAAGCCCCCAGAAACCACCTCCATCACACCCAATAACTAACCTAACCAAAAGTCTTGAGTGGTTTTTTGTTTAATATATAACAGTTTTTATGTGTTACAATAATCATATTATACATTTATACATATAGTATTATATAAACTATACACACAAAACACAACATACTGTATACCTGAAGCTGCAGCGATTAGTAACAATAAAATATAATAATGCACTTTTTACTGTTGAAATGGACGTATGTTTGCAAAATTCAAGTTAGTATAGTCTATTCAGCAGTGGCGTATTTAGGAATTTGTCATGGGGAGGGTCCAGATAATTTTCAGAACATAGAGCCACGGGGGACGAAGCCCCCCACACCACCCATTTACTCTTTATTAAATAAAATATACCATATTTATAAGACGATATAAAATTGTCGAGTTTTTAATTATTAAATAATAATATGTACACAACAAATTTTAAAAAAAAGCGGGTGAGTGGATGTCACTCTGCTGCTGTACAGTAGGTTACAAGTGGGTCAATGTATAATGGATTGTATTAAACTTGAACTCAATGATATAATATCATAATATCATTGTATAAGAAAAACGATTCTGAGCGAAGACGGTTTGTCAGTCTGGATATTTTATATTGTTATTATTTATTATAGCCTGTAAGTTGAATTAATAATGAAATACTTTTATTTTTTTATTTTTTTCTATGGTGATAGACAAAGTGTTAGAAATTAAAATCCCATTTTTAGCGGTTTTTCGTAATTTTTTGGTGGTTTTTACAGTGGCATTAAATAACTATTGAGAAAATCGAAAAATGACCTCTCTAAAGTACTATCTTGATCCAATTTTCTAAAAGATAAGTTACTGTATGTCTATACATGTTGAAATCGAAGCACTCCTGGAAGAAATTTTGTATACAGGAAAAAAAATAAACACCATTGTAGAACCAATAGATCCCTCAGAATCAAATATATAGTTATATGTTATAACTTTTATATAAATATTTCCTTAATTAGGTACATTAGGTACCTACTTCATTCATAGTTGATCTTAGATAGCTTTTCAACCTTAAAAAATTGTACCCCCTCCCCCTGAAAATTGTTAAATTATAACAACGTTATCATTAATAAATCAATTTCAGATAAAATTCGACAAAAATAAATTATAACCCCTCCCGAAAAAAAATTCTGGATACTCTACTGTGTACATTAATTATAAGACGGAGACAAGTATAGACAACGCATGCGGGTATCACGATTCACGTCCTCTATAAGAATTAAAGAATATAATATTATACGAGGTACCCGCATAAGGTCCCCACACACTGCAACGGTGGCGGTAGCGGTTACGGCAAAATGAGTCCGGAAACAATTTTACCGCCATCCCTGTAGTGTGTGACGTCCTTTACTGATATTAATTATAGTATTTAGGTATACGTTTTTATTTTAATTCGTAATACCATTGATTATAAATACGAATTTAACTAAATTTACTTATAAATAGTATTTATAATGGTAATACTTAAGAGGACGCTACACCCGCATGTGTTGTCTCCGTCTTACAAATGTACAACATAGCAAAAACTCTTTAGCGAGGGACGACTTTTCTCGCACCATATTTGTTGTAGAACTACCAAATTTTCACAGCACTTAAAGAAGAACTTTATCTGTGCAACAGAGTGCTCTTTTTTTCAATAGCACCATCCAATCATTTTTTATAAGCAAATTAAAAAACCAAATAACTTGTATTGTATATATGTTATTGAAAAAAAGAGCACGCTGTTGCACAGATAAAGTTCTTCTTTAAGTGCTGTGAAAATTTGGTAGTTCTACAAAATATGGTGCGAGAAAAGTTGTCCCTCGCAAAAGAGTTTTTGCTATGTTGTACATTTGTAAGACGGAGACAACACATGCGGGTGTGGCGTCCTCTTAAACAAGCCGAAAATTCAGAACTCCAACGCATTATAAACACAGATTAAATATATATTATATAATCTGTGTTATAAATTTATAGATGGGAATACATTTCTTATCAAGAGTAATTTTCATTATTAGTATTATTTTCGTTACATGGAAAGAATTCGAATGCCAAATTACTTTCATAATGTTACTACCTACGACCTACCCAATATTGAATATTAAGAATCACTTTTGTTATTTAAATTTTAAACAAATAAAAAACGCTTACCAAGTCAGGGATCGGCATGTAAACTTTCTCGATTTTTAGTTTTTAGAAATTTATTAACTGATATCACACCCAAGAGGTAAACAATTTGAATCCAGAAAAATGTCGGTGTGAACAGCCCCACACAAAATCATTTTCATTTTCATTTAGTGAGAAAGATCTCCAAAACCAGAGAACGGATTTCGTTGTGAGACCTTGTTAGATTCACATTGGTTATGAGAAGTGCAGTGAGGGTTTTCAGAACTTTATCTATAATAGTTAATTCACTACAGAACATTAAAAAAAATTAAAACAAATTTAATGGGCTTTTTTTAATGTTTTTCAGCTTTACAGCTTTGTAGTGAATGAACGATTGGAGATAAAGTTCTCAAAATCTTTACTGCACTTCTCTTAGCCAATATGAATCCAACAAGACCATCAAACAACAAAATCCGTTCTCCAGTTTCAGAAATCTACCTCTCTAAATGAAAGTCTAGCGAAAAATAACTCTTTTTTTTATCTATGAAAAATTAGATAATTTTTTAAAAAAAATTTTAATTCCACATTTAGTATACCGTGTGTCCCAAAAATCAGGGGCCACTTTACTACTCATTACCATGTAAATATTTTTCAATTCTGTTTGCGGGACATTAAACTAGACTAATGGATCGTAAATTTCTTTGACTCACAATGTTTTTAACTCATGTATCTTGCGCATGCGCAATAAAACTTACATTTTTTTAAATGGCAACCCGTAATTTTAATATCATATTCGGGTTCATCAATTTTTTTCAAGTCATTTTGATGTATCAACTTATGTCCTAAACCCAAAATTGACTAAACTAGAGCTAAGTAGAATTTAAATAATTAAAAAATTCAATTTAATTATTTTTTTTTTCTAACTGTACGTACCTACTTATTTTTCTTCTAAGCACGGTGAAACAAACAATCAAAATTATTATTATTAAACTAATTAACTATTTACTATTTATGAATTATTATCTTATTTTATTATTACGCATTATAAAATAACATAGTTTAAACATGTATTTTCAAGAAACAACATTTCTATTTTATTTTTTTTACCATTACTATACATTTTTATTTACAATTTAATTTACAGAAATTACAGACATAAACTATTCAATAAACTGTTCGAAAGTCCCTCCATCGTGTAAAGTGCATGCCTCAAATCGACGTAAACAATCACGATTAGTTGCTGCCAGTATTTGGTTTTCGTTTAGGAGGTAACATGCGTGTGTAATTTTATTCTTTAAATCTTGGATGTTGATTGGAGGATCAGTATACACAACATTTTTCAAGTGTCCCCACAAAAAAAAATATAACGGTGTTAGATCTGGTGACCTTGGGGGCCACTCTACTGGTCCATGTAGGTATTGCAATAAATTTTTCGCCAAATCTTACTCTCAAAAATTCTTGGTCAATTCGGGCATTATGAGCAGGTGCCCCGTCTTGCTGATAATAAATGTTTCTACGTATATCTAATGGTAAATCATCAAGCAGTAATTGCAAGTCATCATGCAAAAAATCTAAGTATCTTCTTCCCGTTAAAGTTCCGTAAAATGTTGTTTCTTGAAAATACATTAAAATTAAAAATACTTTAAACTATTTTATTTTATAATGTGTAATAATAAAATAAGATAATAATTCATAAATAGTAAATAGTTAATTAGTTTAATAATAATAATTTTGATTGTTTGTCTCACCGTGCTTAGAAGAAAAAAATAAGTAGGTACGTACAGTTAGAAAAAAAATTAATTAAATTGAATTTTTAAATTATTTAAATTCTACTTAGCTCTAGTTTAGTTAATTTTGGGTTTAGGACATAAGTTGATACATCAAAATGGCTTGAAAAAAATTGATTGTCATCGGGTTGCCATTTAAAAAAAAATGTAAGTTTTATTGCGCATGCGCAAGATACATGAGTTAAAAACATTGTGAGTCAAAGAAATTTACGATCCATTAGTCTAGTTTAATGTCCCGCAAACAGAATTGAAAAATATTTACATGGTAATGAGTAGTAAAGTGGCCCCTGATTTTTGGGACACACGGTATACTTGGTAATCTCTTTTTCCATACTCATAACTCAATACTCGGTGACAAGCACGGTAGATTATAGACTATAATCTACCGTGGTGACAAGTTTGGGAAAAGAAAACTAACTATATACAACACTCGTTGACCGTTGTATTTACATTTTTTTACATTTCGTTATATATAGGTGTAGGTACCTACCAGCTGTTTTATAATTTTTATATTGCACAAGACTTTCTACTTTTACCGTGTGAAAAAAATACCACTGCAGTTGTATTGCACTGTTACCTACTATAATATCCTATACTATAATATACCTAACCATCATGGACAGCCACCAAAGTATACTTATTTATTGTTCTCTAGGAACAAATGAGTGAAGGCTAATTTTAGCACGCAGCTGATATAACATGGAAAAATTAAAAAAAAAAAATTGTTAGAAACAATCATATCTTATCATTGTGCACACGTGCTGTGCATTATCAATCATCAGTTATCATTGTTTTTGTTTGTGAAATACAATATCGATACTATCATAAATCATGATTGTAAATTCATTGATGAATTTTCATTTTTCTCTTCCTTACAATTTACTTTACCAGATTTGTTTTTCCAACGTCAATAATACGTTAATACATAATAACGAAAAGAACGTACACCACGATTTAATTTAGCTTGAAATGGCACTTCACGCCAATGCAGTAAGATTCGGTTTACAGAGGATTTGTTTGGCACCTGTGTCGTTTCGATACAGTAGACAAGCTGCATGCCGTTTGGGTTTGGAATTTAGTTCCAGATCTAATGATGTCCCTAAACGTACCCCAAACGTGAGTCAATTTAATTATTAGTCTGTATTTGGTTGTGTATGTTTCACAGACCAATAAGTTAAAATGTAACCAACATGATCATTAAAAAATATACCTACCGGTAGATTCTTTATTGAATTGTCAGGTGCAATACTTCATACTTTTCCTAAACCAAAATATTATGACTATACAATAATGAATTAAAAATATATTTTAATCTTACAGGTACGATTCTTAAGCTCAAAAAATGAAAAAATTATCGATCTTAGTTACTCCGACATTGATCCAGTTTATATACCTTTTAAGAAAGAAATTGTTGACGAACAAGATTTACATGAAGGAGATCAGCATTCAATCAATTCTGTTTGTTTTCATGATTAGCCATAACAGTTAAATTAATAAAAAAAAATTGTATTAAATTCAATCGTAGGTTATTATTGGTTTTAGGAAATTGTTATTAAATGTAAAAGAAAAAATTTAAATCATGAGAGAAATCAGAAATATGATCAGTTTAAAGAAATTCCACTGGCATCAAAAGGATGGAAGAACAAGAAGGCTAAAGATGATTATTTTACTATTCATATTTATAATGATGTAAGTTGTATTTTTATCTATATTTTTAAGAAAATTTGTGTATAAATGTTACTATTTTATAAATTTTAATTTATTCTTGAAACTAGGATTATTTACCTCAAAGCAGAAAGAGTTTTTACGAATTTAAAAACACTGGACTATCACAATCTATTCTTCATATTTTAAAACAACATGAAATCACTATTCCCTCACAAATTCAAGTAACCATCTTAATCCTTTTATTAAACCAGATAAATTATTAAGTCAAAATATTAATTTTTTCAGGCTCTTGGAATTCCATCAATACTGAAAGGGAATAATACTTTGCTTGCAGCTGAAACAGGTTGTGGTAAAACATTAGCATACTTGGCACCAATAATTCAACAAGTATTAGCTTATAAAGAAAAAGTAAAATTTAAAAATCAGTTCAACAGCCCATTAGCCTTAGTTATTGTGCCTGGCAGAGAATTAGCTGATCAAATTGGAGTATGTTCAGTGCCTATATTAAATTTGATGGAACTATTTTAAAATTATCAATTTTGTTAAATGACAAGTATATTTTAATTCAACATTTTTATTTTTAGGAGATTGCCAATTGGTTTACTGAAGATTTACCATTGAATGTAAAAGTAATAACTGGAGGACACACAAAAAGGCAGATAGTTAATCCAGTTTTTGAGGAAAATGATATAATTATTGCTACATTAGGAGCTCTGAGCAAATTAACAAACACTGGTATGATTTTTAAGTGTTATTTTTATCCTCAGATAGACCTCATTTATTGTATTATTATTTTAGGCATATACTCAATGCGTTATGTACGTCATATTGTACTAGATGAAGCAGATACTCTAATGGACGATAGTTTTAATGAATTAATGACTCATTTCTTATCTAGATTCCAAGTACAGATACTTTTTTTAAAACCATATGCATCAATACAGATTTTAATATATTTAATTTTTTAAGTATCATTATTCAATATTTGTCATGTTTACAGTTTAAAAGTCGTAATGAAAGTTCTAATTTGACTCAATTGCTGTTGGTTAGTGCCACAATGCCAACAAGCCTATCCGATATATTGGGCAATATAATTGACGTAATATTATAATGACTTGATATGCTACATTAAATATAAAATAAATTAATTGAGTATATCTATATTTTTTAGATGGATAGTTTGAACAAGATCAAAACGGATAAATTACATGCCATTCTTCCTCATGTTCAACAAAGATTTATTAAAACTAATCTGGGTGAAAAACCAGCAAATCTGTTGTTACAAGCAAAAAAACTTTCTAAAAGCAATACTCCAACAATAATATTTTGGTATCTCATTTGAATAGTATACTTTATATTATTATTTATTTTAGTCAAAATAATTTTAGCGTGAACAGGCTTGATAAAACTGTCTATTATAAAAATAGAATTTCAAACGTCATATGTTTTATATTTTAATATTAGTTCTTTATTGATAAATTTGTTACAAAGATTGAAAGTTTTAATTTTTAGAAAGCATCTGATATTAGTGCAAAATAAATAATAATGAATGTTATAAATTTATAATTATTCATTTGATATCTTATTTAATCAAACTCATTTTAAACCTTAAACATTTAAAACTAAGTTACTCATGTCATAATTATGATTGGAGACTTTGATTAGTATTGAAATATTAACATAAAACCCTGTTGGTAAAATGTGAGTCAATAAGAAATGCAAATGTGACTTGGTATATTATTAATAGATTTTGATAGATTTATTGATAAATATTACAAGGATTTACACATTTTTGTTATATACTAATTATATTTAATCTATTAATATGAATGATAGTATTCATCAAATGTTTATTGTTATAGTAATAAATCAAGTACTTGTGATTGGGCTACAATGTTTTTAAATGAAAACGGCATCGAGGCAGTAAATTTGCATGGTGACATGCTGTATGAAATTAGACTTGGAAAATTCAAAAAATATCAAGATGGCGAAGTCAACATTATGGTTAGCACGGATGTGGGATCCAGAGGATTAAATACAATTAGAGTAATTTGATTAAATATTTTATAGAAAGTATCTATTAAACAATAAAACTTCAATATAACAGACACCAATATTACCGTAAAAAATAACCATTATTTAGAATTAGCCATCCTAAAGAGGTAACTAATAACAGATGTGCAATAGTATTGACTTCTAGTTGATCACTATATAAAGGCCATGCATACATTAAAAAAAAAGATACCAAAGGCATAAATAATTTATATGTACTAAAAAATGTATTTCTAACATGTGTAAAGTGAAAAGATATTTACTATGCTCAATTTAAAATTTAAAAATTAGTTGCATATCATTAATATAAAAATTTAAATAATTAAGTGATATTAGTTTATTTTAAACTAATTTAAGTATGTGAACAAATTTTTTCAAAATTAATTTCTGCGGATTTTAAAATATTACAACTACATCATCTTTTCTGAAGAGTGAAAACATTTTCTTTATTTCCGCAGACATGTTCGATGCACATTGTTTCGATACTTAACTAAATTGCCAAAAATAATTTTTAAATAATTTGACATTTTTTTTTTTTTGAATATTTGTATTTTGACCATTATTTAAAGTTCCACCCTGTGTAACAGGAAAACCTGAAGAAAAAAATTAAATAAGTGATGCTACTTAAACGTATGAAAAAAATTGTGAAAAAGATATTGTTAATAAATTATTCAAGAGGACGTCACACCCGCATGTGTTCTTTGTCTTATAAATGTACAACATAAAAAAACTGTTGCTTGTCCCAACTTTTCTCGCACGATATATTTGTAGAACTACCAAATTTTCACAATACATAAAGAAGAACTATATTTGTGGAATTATATTTATTTTTTAATAACACTATCTAATCATTTTTTATAAGCAAAAGAAAAAAAGAAAATTATGTTTAGAAGCAAATTACTTTTATTGTATATACATTATATGAAAAAAAAAGGCATGCAGTTGCATAGATAATTTTCTACCCTATATGTTCAGAAACTTTGGAGCCACTACTACAAACACAGAAAGATAAAAGTGGTCCCGTGCAAAACGGTTTTTGGTATGTTGTACATTTGTAAGACTGAGACAAATCATACGGGTGTGACGTCCTCTTAAAAAATCCACTCTTGTTAAGAAATTATAAAAAATAATATTTTAAAAATGTTATTACTTTCTAAATACATTTATTCAAAAAATTAAACTATTTGACTTGGATAAATGTTTTTACCATCAAAATTGTTCTTAGAATCAGATTTAGAAATTGCCAATTAGCAATGTTGAATTTTTATTTTCAGTATTAAAAAATAAAAATAATTATTTTTGTATTATACGTGTAGCGCGAGTGACTATAAATTTCATTTATAAAAATTTTTTTAAAAATATCGATTGGAACAAAGGTTATGTCTGTTAGATCTTCCTGTTATTCCAGCATAAAGGTATTAATGTATTTTCCACATAACACTTGATGTTGATGAGAACAAAAAAATTAGTGTTACATAAAGGTGACCGGTAACGGAACTTTTACAGTACTTACTTAATTATAACTTATTTCAATGTGGTTTTCAGACTAAGCATATTATAAATTATGACTTTCCCACCTATATTGCTGATTATATTCATCGATGTGGGCGTACTGGACGTTTAAATGCGGGTACAGATGGAAAAGTCACCAATTATATTAGTACAAATAATGATTCTGAATTGGTCCAAAAAATTGAAGTAATAATTACAGTTGTTAATTAAATAAAACACAAAAAAAAATTTTAATTGATACATTTTTATGAAATATTTTAAATAATTTTTTCTCATATTTGTTTTATAGTTGGCTGCACGCACTATGAAATCTTTACCGAATGTCAATGGAAATATAACTAAAATACGAAGATTCTACATATTGAACCAACTGGAAAACAAAGCAGCCAAAAAATTAAATTAATATTTATTATTTTTTGTATTATATTTTAAACATATGTTTATAAAATTGTAATGAAATGTGATATTCATGATAATCGATGACAATTGATTGCTATAATTACATATTTATAAGTTAATGTAAACCTTTGAGTCTTCAATTATTTTAAATCATATATTTGGCAAAGTTTACCTATATACTAATGAGTATACAAAGCTCAAACATAGTTAATTTTTTAGTTTTAACATAATATATATTCACTCTACACTGCAATAATATGCAACTATTTTAGATTCTGAGCGGAGCGAGAAAGCTAGTGGTTGTACAATGGTGTTTATTTATTTTATCCTGTATACAAAATTTCTACCAGAAGGAGTGCTTTGATTTCTACATATGATGCCTTATCTTTTAGAACATTCTATCAAGATGGTACTTTAGAGAGGTAATTTTTCAATTTTCTCAATAATTATTTAATGGCACGGGAAAAATTACTGACAAATTACAAAAAAACTCTAAAAATGGGATTTTGATTTCTAACGCTTTGTTTATCACATAAATATTATAGTATTGTAATATAAATTCAACTTACAGGCTATAATAAATAATAACAACATAAAATATCCAGACTGACAAACTATCTCTGCTCAGAATCATTTTTCTTATACAATGATATTATATCATTGAATTTAAGTTTAATACAATCCATTATACATTAACCCACTTGTAGCCTATACTGTACAGCAGAGCAACATCCACTTACTCGCTTTTGTATTTATGAATGACACGCTTTGAAGATTTAGATCTTGTGGTGACTAAAATACTAGTTCCGTAGAATATTTATTTAACTTATGATAGTGCTCACTATGCACAGCAGCTAGAGTCCAGTACAAGTACACATTTCTAGCTGGGTTGGATTATCAATCACTTAAAAGCAAACATTCAATGAATCAATAGTGAACTAATGGTTCATTCAATTGATCAATGTTTTTGGCATCAGTTTATTTAAAAATTGAATAAATAATTGTTGAATTTTATCTGATTATTATTCTATTAATTAGACAATATATAATATCATATATGTATTACAAACAGTACTAGATTTAGGGGGGGGGGGATCCGGGGCCCATGCCCCAGGCATTTATCATAGAGGGACGCAAATTTCAAATTTTAAACTCACAGCATATAGTGTAGGGGATCTAATATTATGTTGTGCCCTGAGGCCTGAGTTATTTTTTACATTTGTAGATCTGGTGCTGTGTATAAAACAAAAATAATGCATTATTATCATGTAATTTGATTACTGTTCAGTTGAATTTTTTTTTAGATCTAAATATAAGACTAAAATATTGATTGAATCATATCTCTCTTATTTAAGATATGTAATTTGATATTGAATTGAACAATACTAAATCGAAATTGACATGAATATTATATGGATGGTGCATAATTACTGCTAGTTCATACATTATCTCATTTACATAATATAAAACATGTTGAAAAAACAAAAAATATAATATTGTATTGTTTGTTTTTATTTTCGGGAAGAGAATACATAAAAATTGCCAAATTCAAAATTATATTAGACATGATAATAACAGAGCAAAAACAATTTATCAATTAATAAAGAAATTTGTATAACATTATTTTTGTTTTTTGAAAAATATGTAATACTATGCAAAAACTATGACTTGTTTTCCATTTATTATATTGTTATAACTTATAAGTTATTAACTAACATAATAACATGTTTTGTTTTAATTTTAACTCATTAGGTACCTATATAAAACAACAATTTTACCAGAAGTAACATTATGTTTTACATAATAATAATATAATTTGTATTTTAATTTTAATAAATACTATTTTAGTGTTACTGCTAAGTAGCAGGAGGCTACTACACTTAAGACTTCAAGTCCTGTATAGGTATTTATTTTGGTTTTGTTCACGCTCATATGCTTATTGTAACCGTTACAGATTGAATATATTCTAATAAATGTTAAAAAACAAAAAATAATATTAATAAATATTATGACATTAGACTCAAAACGCTATTATATTATTAGGTACGTAGTATTGTATTGATGATGGTATATTATAGTAATATACTTTAAACCAAATTTCAATATATTATTATGAAATGCAACACTTAAAATGAAATCAATATAGCAATAATTTTATATAAGTACTTAGGGATTACAAATTAATAATAAATTAATAGCCTAATTTATACGTAGGTACATTTTTATATCAAAACTTACATTGTATGATAATGATTAACTTAAAAATGAAAAGTGTAAATTACTATAATATACTCATTGGCACATAAAGAGAAATTAATAATTATACTTATTTGGGTATGACGGCTCTGATTTAAATGAGGTACATACAACCGCATGAGTTTTTTGTTTCAGGTATCTATATGGATGAATTCTAAGTCACACTCAAGTGCAATACGTTGCTTTATTTTAGTAACTATTGTATAGGTAGGGTCACAGTGGCGTAGCCAGAATTATGAAATGGGGGGTGTTTAAGTATAGATTAAAACCAAGTTTTTACAGTTTTTGTATATAAATACATTTAGGGTTCGGGACTTGACTTGTTGCACTAAAAATTATCGAAATATGCTTAAATATATGCAGCTACATCTTAATATATTATTTTTGAAAAATTCATAAAACCTAATACAATTTTTATAATAAAAAACTAAAAAATAAGTAGGTATATAAACATGATAAAAATAATTTAATCACTGGTATACAAATTTTAATATAAGTTGGTACCTATAGGTACAATAAGGTACCTATATATTGATTAATATGATGGACGGAGGACACAGCTATTGCATGTTTTGGACATTTTTAAACTATTGTGAATTAAAATTTGATTTTTAAAAATACTTGAATAAAATACTAGGTTAATAAATAAGTAATAGGTAACGAATAACGTGATATGCGAACCCCGTGATAAACGAACATGTATCTACTGATTTTCATTTCTTCGTACAATCTAGAATCTAGATGTCAATTATAGTTTTAACACAGTCTTGTCACAAAGAGACTTATAAAATCTAACGTACCATATGCGGAAATAGGGTCCATGATATCCTCCCAAACATTTACTAACATTTTTTAAGCTTATTCAATTTTATAATAGTATGATTTTAGACTTCAGCTTCCCCAAATCTCAAAATTAGCTCCTATTGTACCTAAACAAACATAATATTTTTAAAGATATTTTTCAATGTTATCCAAATATGATTTTTCTTGACAATTGTATGTAAATACCTACATTTAAGTTAAAAAAATTCAATATATACACAAATATAATCGCTAAAATGTACACTTTTCCTACGATATGCAAAAATATGCAAATTCAAACATCGTTTGATAAGACAAAAAAATTTCATAACACAAATTTATAACTTCTCTAAAATAACCTACTATCACTACAATAAATCATGCAAGGAGTCCCAAACCCTATAAACAATACAAAATTTCTTAGGGGGAAATGTCAATGGGGGGTGTTTAAACACCCAAAACTCCCCCCTGGCTACGCCACTGGGTAGGGACTTATTTTGTAAGAAGTACATTTGAGAAAAATGTCTAACCTTCATAATTAATTTCCAAACACAAGAGATACAAATTTGGGTGCTAAAATTGCCACTTATAACATTGTAAATACACTACAGGTACTAAAAGGTACAACTGATTTTCATTTATTGATATTTTGTAAAACAAGTTGCTCAGCCCATTTATTATTATTATATTATGTTAAGACACATTATTATGAAGGCAAATTCCCAAATAATTCAATGCTCTAAAAACATTTTAACAATATAATATATGAGCCAGTTGTCATAATAATGCACTTAAAATATATGCACTAGTTGTACAATGCTACATTCAAAATTAAAAAAAAATCCAAAGAAGAGCTAACCTTAGCCCATGACAAACCTTTAATTTTAATTGTAATTTCAGGGATGTAGATAAATCCTAAGTCATTGTCTAGTGTTATATTATTATGTTATAATGATCATATTAAATATTAAAATATATATTTTTCTTATAATGTGTAATAATCGCTTTATTTTAGTAAGTGCCCTAGAAATGTTGTAATGCAACATAACATACAGGATTCTTATCATTTTACTGATTTGTTTATGTCAATAAATTACTGAACTGCATTATAATTTATAACTGCATGGGTTTTTGAGGTAGGAACTTGAAATTTCCATAGTATTTAAATACAGTACAACTCATGCCGTGTAAAAAATTTCATAATTTTTTATAAACTATTGCGAGTGTAAGAGCAAATCAGCAGTTTTCCTGGATGGCGGCGCGTGATTTTACTGATTCGATTATGTGAATAAATTACTGATTTGTCTTATAACTGCATGGATTTTCGAGGTAGGCACTTGAGATTGTCCCCATATTTAAATACGGTACAACTTATGCCGTGTAAAAAATTTCATAATTTTTGGTTAAGTTTTTAAGTTTGTGATATTTCTGCGACAAGTAACCCGGAAGTGAAAATCGACGGGGCAACCTGGAATTTGGTAGGGAGTTGGAGGGGGTATTATAATGGCACTCGTGAAGTTTGAACTTATTCGGACTTAGTTTGCCCATGCTACGGGCGCTATGGCCCCAAATCAGTAAATCAGTAAATCAGTAAATTAAACTAACCCTGTCTTAAGTGACTTAAAATTATGTATGTTTATTAGAGTCAAAAGTGTTAATTAGGGCCCAAAACTACATGCATTTGCATATTTTTACTGAGTTTATTCAGCTACAAATTTGAATCACAACCTAACGGGTTCAAACATGAAAGTTTAGTTTGCATATTTTCAGATTTTTGTTTAATTATTCATATTTTAAAATACAATTTCACTTTACTGCATAGGTATTTATGTTTTTTTAAAAAAAAATAATAATTCATGAAAATTTCAAAATTTATAATAAAAACGTCGCCAATATTAAATAAAAATCTGTTTAAAATTAGGCCGTACTCTCAGATATTATAACTCT